GTCCGCCCCAATCAAATGGTACGAATTCCGCATTCAAAATTTTCCCACCATTTTCTTTGAATAACCCACATGAGACGAGCCCCAAAGCATTTCACATTATCAAATGTATTTATATACTCTATGCCAGGGTATAAATGTTCTATATTTGTATTGTTTCAGTATTTATATACTCTATGCCGGGGTATAAATGTTCTATATTAGTATTGTTTCAGTGTTTATATACTCTATGCCAGTGTATAAATGTTCTATATTTGTATTGTTTCAGTGTTTATATACTCTATGTCAGGGTATAAATGTTTTATATTTGTATTGTTTCAGTATTTATATACTGTATGCCAGGGTATTAATGTTCTATATTTGTATTGTTTCAGTATTTATATACTCTATGCCAGGGTATAAATGTTCTATATTTGTATTGTTTCAGTGTTTATATTTTATATACTCTATGCCGGGGTATAAATGTTCTATATTTGTATTGTTTCAGTATTTATATACTCTATGCCAGTGTATTAATGTTCTATATTTGTATTGTTTCAGTATTTATATACTCTATGCCAGGGTATAAATGTTCTATAAAAGAAAGAATGTTATATTCAAGCTGTAAGTCACCTCTAGTAGATTATATTCAACATCATATGGGAATTGAACTGGCTAAAAAGGTATGTATTTTATTATTATCATGTCTTCAATTTATTGAAAAATATTACCATAGTCGAATTTATCCTGGGTTAATCTGATTCGATTTGGTCTAAAAAACATTTATCCTGTATCAAATCAAATTTGATTATGGTAATCAGCGCATTTACTGTAGCAGAGAATCAAATCGATATATGTTAAACGAGTAAATCAACTTTGGAGCGTTGTAGCTCTGTTAACTTCCGCTTTAGAAAACCATTACATGCAGGATAATTTCTTCCTGCCTTGTCGCCATCTTGGAAACTATAAATAGTACAATGTTCATTTATCCTGCAGAATAAATCAGATTGATTTGTGACGTCATTCTGATTAGGGTAATCGAATCAGATTTAAGTGCGTAAAAATGCCTCATATTTGACTAGTAGCAGATTAAGCTAAAGGTAATTAAAGGGATATAATCACAATCCATCTGTTTGAGCAATTGTACTTTAGTCTGAGAATTGGGAATTTTTTAGCTAAGCCAATCAATTAAGTGTTTACAGCTCACCGCCGAAATTTGTGTCCAGAATTATCGGTGTTTGAAATTTAAAATGACGACTCGTCTTTTCGTTGAGACTCTTATAGAAAAGACAAGTAGAAATAGAAAGTGAAATTCCCAGTTTGAGGTATTTTTGACCGAATTATGAGATTTTGGTATATTTCTAGTACTTTTAAATTGCCAACTTGTCCTTTTAATATTGAAGATGTCACAATAAACTGTCCAATCCACACGTTTACAGATTTTTATATGCCCACATAGAAATGTATTATTATGAAATTTGGTGTGATCAGTTATATTGATGAGAATTTAAAGAAGTGTGAATTCGATTTTTGGATGAAGGGCTTTTGGGTTATTGCTATCGATTTAAAAAAAGATTCGGAATAAATACATTAAATAAGTTCCATGTATTATTAAGATCTTTAAATTAATAAAATTCTTATTTAAGTCACTAAAGACTGTTCTTATTTCTGACATCTTGTAGTGGGCGTATGTTACCTTGCCTGGTAAGGCATCTTGTATTTTATATGCATAATTCACATGAACATGATCCTTTTCCAAATTTACCATGATATACACTGCATGGTGTTGTCACATGGAAAAAGCATCTAGTCATTCGGATGGGACAATAAACCGAGGCCCTGTGTGCTACAGGTTGTGCACTTTAAAGATCCCTCGACAGTTGGAAATCGAAAAAAGAGCAGGCTAATGCCGCTGTCCTGGCAAAATTTCCCTCATTGCACCCTGCATGGCGTTGCCCGTCTTCATTAGCCCACATGGTGCGAAAAGTAGGACGTAAAACTCCATTCATTGAATATTTTTGCATGGTGTTGTCAGTTTCCAATTCGCTATTTTATGAGAAGAACTGGAAGATGTAAAAAATTTATTTTCGTTTCAGATTGAAAGCGATGACTCTAGTGAACTAACGGAAGAATTTATTTATGAAGAAATCCATCCGACTAAAAACGCAGTACGACAGGCCTTCGCTAAACCTAAAGGTCCAGCCAACAGAGGGCCTCGAAGAATGCTTCGTTCAGACAAAAATAATTAAATTCAGATTTAAACATAAAAAGCCACAGAACTTGATATGCAAATTAACTAGGCCTTGTTTGATTGGTATAGATTTGGATATTAATAACTTCATCTTCTAAGTGACTAGAGTTCATCTCATGCAGCTGACACATGTTTTAGATATACAAATCTTCATCAGGAAAGCTAGTTTTGAAAATTTTTAGCAATATGAGAATTTTAAAAGTCTCGCATTATCTATATGAGTGAAAACTCATCTGTATCAATTTATGGCAATATTTATTTCACTTTCTTATAACTCATGCAATAATCTGTTCTCTTACAGTCAAGTTTTTTATTATGTATTATTAACATATAAAATTCAGTTTATCACAGATTAGATGATTACAATTAAAGCATTATTAAGTATGTTGCTATTGTATTTCCACTATCTGATCATTTGACTGAATTTGTTATTTGTTGTGGTAGTATTTTGTATTATTAAAATAATATGAAAGCCTCATATAGATAATGTACATTGAAGGCCACATTGTCTGTATTTTGACTTAAATCATGAACCACCTAATCAGTTCCTGAATAGGCTGAGAGTACCTTAGATATAGATTTTTTTTTTTACCAAAGATGGGTTTGTCAAAAATAATTGTGAAGCAATGAAGCAATGAATTAAGGAATGGCAATATTTTGTTACGGAATCAGGAATATTATTTAAGTTTAAACAAGACTGGATATAGAGGACACAAAATTCATTTGTGACACGACACAAAAACAACTCTCGGAACTAAAAACATTGTTTTAGTTTTATGAGGAATTTGAGCCATAGAAACTTATTGATAACTGTTCGTTACTCAACATCCCCTGACAGAGGTCAATTTCAGTTACTGCATGAGAATCAGACATCAAATTGAGATTTTAAAAAGTGGTAATTTATCTCAATCTTCTTGGAAAATATATTGGCTACAATTTTCCTTAGATAGAAAGCAATAAATTATCTGAATCACTTTCAATTTATGAAAAAGGAGAATAAAACAGCCTTAAATTCTTTTCATAATCATGATTTAGATATGCGTAATTGAAAGAAAAAGGGTGTGTTCAGTAGTACCATATCCAGTCTTGTGATTGTTATTCTGAATCATTGGTTGTATTTTACTAACATTCCCTACTGTTTTATTTGTTATAAAATTACCTCTTTATACAGACCCGACCCTGTAAGATAAATTTTGAGTAAGATTTTTTTGAGAGGAGAAACAGACTATTGAGTTAGCTATAAAGTAATTTGCCAATCTTGTCTTGAATGGAATCTAAAATGACTCATACATAAGTTTTGTGTTTAGATCAATATAGAAAAATTATCTGGTTGCTGTTTCACAAAAGCTTAAATTAAGATTTTAAGTAATAGGCCTACAGCAATTTGATTGGTTGAAAAGTTAGATTTTTAAATCAATTTTGATTAGAGCTCATCTCATGCTGCAGACACATATTTGGTACACAAAGTCAGGACAGTTAGTTATGAAAATGAAAGTTAAGGGGATTGTAAAGAAATTTTCTAAACTTTTTACGTGTATCAGGAGCATCAATTTGCATCCTTCCAATTTTTGATCAGACGTCTGTGGTTCCTGCAATTCCACTAAAACAAAATTTTTGATGACATCACTAATTCTTAATTATTATTCAGAGGCTGATTCTTTCAGAAAGGTGTAAAATTGGCAGTATTTGGATGAAGATTTTTTTGTTTGTTAGAATTTTGTATATTAATGAATTGTTTTGTTTTTGTTTAAAATATTTTATTACAATCCATCTTGTCTTTGGATTGTTTGATATTTGATTAAGAGTTCAATATGAGTTTGTATTTGTAATATTTCTTATAATTAACCATAATTCATCTCATACTTTCAACACAGTTTGAATATAAAATTCTCAACTAACAGTTTTTAAAAGGAAAAAGGTGATAAACCAGTGTTATACTTAATGCCACATTGTTTATCATCTCAAGGTATAAGCTTAAGTTATTGTTTATTTTAGCAACTTTGTGGAAATTATTCTGTCTGGTTTGTTGTTACAAATTATAGTGATCTCCAATTAACATTCTGACATGCAAATATTAGTATCATTCTGAAAAATATTGTTGATGGAGGCTAAGCTGATATTTTCATGAAAGCAAATATTCAGACACCTACCTACATACCTTGTAGATTATAATTAAGATAGTTTAATCAATAATAGTATGTGTTATAAAATAGATGTACATTAAAGGGACAGGTGGACCATTTTTGGACCAATCGTTACTAAGTCTCATAAACAGAAATTTCTTAGCTAAGCTAATCAGTAATAGTGTTCACAGCTCACCTTCGAACTTTGAGCCTTCAGATCAATGTGTATCCAGATTTATCTGCGTTTGGATATATGGAAATAGTAGATGAAATTCTTAGTTTGAGTTATTTTTGAAGGAATTATGATTTTTGTACATTTCTAGTATTTTTTAAAACTATTTACGTATATTCAAGACCAAAATCAACCCCCAAAAATGGCCTAACCGTTCCTTTAAAAATGATCTATGAACTGTTTTTATGAAGATATTTATATTATAAATTTATTTAATATCTACAATGTAAATACTACCTGACTCTATGAATAAATATATTGTCATATCTTTTAGTTTATTTGTTTACTGTTTCGCATTAAAATCCTGGAGTTTTTAGATTTCTAGATTTTCGCCCCTTTTCACCAATTTTTTTGTTAAATTTATTATGAAGATTTGACTGACATTTAGAAGTGAGGAGAAGTCTACATATCAGTGATATCTGATATAATATAATATGATATCACAAACACAAGACAATATTTTGCAAGAAAGAAGCGTGATAATTCCATAATATTGTCTTGAATTTGTGATATGGTATTTCTAAAATTACATCATTTAAATTCCATACTTAAACAGATTGTTATTGTAGGACATTTTGAGGAACATGGCATCAGACATTCTCATTCCAGAATGACAACTAGGAAAGTTATGTGTTCAAGTTACAAAGGAGAAATTTTTTTAGACCTTTTAATTCATCTAATAAGGGAAATTTAAACTTCTCGTATCTTATAATATATATATTGGCTTCTCTCATGATGTAATCAGTTTGTTTTAAACTTAAAACACATTTTATAGAATGCAAGAATTCAAGTTATCATTGTAGTTGCTATAACATGTCTTTTGTAATATAAAATCCCTACTTGACCCCATACACCTACAGTCTAACAATAGTCTATTGTCTTTATAGACCAGTTCAACTACTGAACTACTCTTCACACCTTGGCCTCCTTCCACAAAATATCTGAAGATAAGAATTCGTCATAATAGTAGAATCGTACATTGAGAAATACTATAAGCCATACTTACGACAAAATTGATGGTAAGATTGTTTGTGGAACAGGCTACAGGGCTCTGTAACAGTAGCCTAAACATCTGTGTTTCTTGTCTTAAATTCTTTCAGAGTTTATTTGAAGTGAAGTTAGAATCATTATTCCTTTTCTTGCAAATCTAATCATATCCAAGTGTTGTATTATAAAAGTTAATGTCTCAATTTTTAAATAACCATCAAACTTTACAAGTCCCTTTTTGCCTCATTATAATGTGCCAAGGGAGGCGGCCACATTTGCATGGAAGGCAAAATAGCTGATAGAGACTGATTTCAGCTTCAACTGAGAATTCGATCTTATTTTGCGGGCATCCCCCCCCCCCTTAGTTACAGACTTGAACATGGATTGAGCTACAGCCTCTATTTCAGGGATATCTAAGTAAAAAATCCTCCTACAGAAACATACTCAAATGACAGGGTTTTTTTTAAACATAGTTTTTACCATGAACAGAAATGGTGTTTTAAAAGATTAATAGCGCAAGAGTTGTAGTTCATAAAGTTGTATAAAGATTTAACCAAGGGACTTGGAGATAGCTTGACTTTGTTGACTTTCACTAACACCCCTGCAGCTTCTTACAATGTGGACCACAAAGAACAACAACTGGGCTTTTAACCCTTTTAACACCTTCACAGTTTGAAAGAAAAATTACAATTGTACTCCTGAAAACTGTAAACATTGTGAAGACACCAATAAACCTTATGATGTGCCAACGATCTAATACACTGGGTAATCATCACTAAACAATTAAAATCCGCTTTAATAGATAGTTATTTATTTCAACTTCAAAAACCACTATTGTACCAAACAGAATTTATTTATTACCATAGTCTATATAATATATACAATATATACAATCACTTTATTTGGTTACAGTCGTAGGCCTAACTAATGACATAAATAGATCTACATTTTAATTGTCTCTCTCAAATTTGATGTACCATATAGAATGAGACGACTTCTTTGTCTTTTTAATAGTCTTTCTTTCTTCTCTTCTCATCCCCCCCCCCCCACCTCTTTCTCTTACTCCATGAAAGGTCCACCAGTCTCTTACGGTCCCTGTGGATAACCACAACTATTAGCCAAGGTCCAATTTAATACAAGATATGGCTTACTTTCATGATCAGAGTAGCATAACCTTACTTAGGCCTATACGTTGGTCTACAAGAGTATAGCCTAGAATTATTATTTTAGAAAATGAACAAATATAAGCCATTAGATTTAGCATATTATTTGTTTTAGTCTCTGATATTATTCTCGCCAAAGCTTATTCAAAATCATTTGTTGAAACACATGTCCATTCTGCCTTAGAAATAATCCCCCCTGTAAAGAGTCATAAATCAATAGATATAATAGTCGCGATTTTCTGATTTTAACCTGCAATTTGACCAATCGGGAAGGTTTTCCAAACAGGAGTTACTTCCCTTCAATTACTCAAATATTATGGCGGGAAACAGCACCCTTTGTTTGAGACCACGTGAAAACTGTAGCCAGTTAAAACCGCTTTCATTGTGGCGGGTATACTGCAGTAACAGACGATAGGAAACTAAACAACGCCATTTACACAGAGAAACTTCGGGTGAGTTGAACGCTTTTTTCTTGGTATTTTCGAGGAGAACTCGGTATTTTGGTTGCAGTTTGTGGTATAGTGATTTGTAAGGTCTGAAATAAGCTACAGATGCGAATCCACAGCGCCGAGAAGGCCATCAGTAACAGCCCACAGTTTTTGTCTTGTTTGCATAACGAGTGGGTGAATCACAGTATGTCAGCGAAGCCATTTTGTTTGTTGTTGTTTTTATCGAGAACTGGGAACAAAATTACTGGCTTTGATAATAGATTTTTTTTGTTAGTAGCACGTAAATAAGATAGGTTTAGACTGGTTTATGCACAAGTCCTTACAAATCAAATGGATTTAGGGCTACCGCCTCTAGGCGTACCGGTTCAATTTAATCATCCGGAACGCCAAGGCAGTGACAGTGAGCAGATTTTAAATAGAACGTTTTATACATCCAGCAAGTATAGATTGTATTTTGCAATAATATAATGAATTAAATATTATAAATAGTATAATTAATGAGACCGAGATTTACAATAAGTTTATAAAATTCATTTTTCAATCTGGATGGTCTACACTTGCACTGGCACTTCTTCAGATTTTTTGAAACTATCTTAGTTTCTTCCCTATCTTCAGTGTGAGTGAGGCGAGGGGATATTGTACTTAGTATCTAGTCTAGGATAGGATAGGACCTTTTGTATATTTCTGTAGCAATTGTGATTTATATTGTAATTGTATCTAACAAGCCTATTGCAACATTGCATAGCAGGGTTGCACCTCCACTTTTTTTTGCAATGAATTTAAAAATATCATTTTATACAGTATGTCTTTCCTCATAAAATGTCCAAATGCAGCAAATCAATTCAATTTTTTGAAAATTTTCTTGGGAGACCCTCTCAGATGCTCAACTAGAGGCATGCTACTACAACGCCTTTATCTTAGCCTTGACAGTTGTCTCCCCATTGAGTCTGTCTGCCCCTTATTTGTACTCCCAGTCTTAGAAAGCTGCTTGATATCAATTAAATCTATGGCACAATGGTCTCAATATTTCGTGACTTCTCTTGAATTTTGAACACTTGGGAAGAGAACATGCCTCTTCACAAACTTCAATTTTTTTCTTCATTCCCTACCCTTACCGTACCAGCATTCGTTATTAAAAAAGTTCTTATTTATTTTTTTCAGAATAATACTGATATTAAATCCAAATGGCATCACCAGCTAAAGGAATGAAACGAAAGGCAAAAGATACCGGTAAACCCAAAAAACCAACCTCCTCATACTTTTATTTCTTAGAAGAATGTCGGCGAAAGGCAAAAGAAGAGGGTAGAAGTTTATCAAAGGTATGTCTCTATAATGATTAAACAAAATGAACGGGAATTTAGGTGCTAAGAGTAGCTTAACGTAGGGCACTGGTTCACATATAATCTAGCTACTCAGATCTTTAATTTTGATACCACTTTTTAAAAATCTTATTTGATCTGAAAAGTCTCATGATTGTCAAGTTGTGTTGTATTCAGAAGTTGAAATGACAAAGTATCAGTCTACTGGATACAGTAGAGGTTCCATGGCAGAAAAATTATCATCTTTGAACTTGCTTGAGATCTCAGTCTACTAAATTGCATGATAGGTGATCCATCTTTTTCCTAATTCCGAATGTCTTTCTTTTCATGTTTTAGATTGCTGAATTCACAAGAGAATGTTCTGCCACCTGGAAAGATATCACAGCCACAGAAAAAAAGAAATTTGAAGACAAGGCAGCAGCTGATAAAAAACGATACCAAAAGGAAATGGAAAGTTATGTCCCTACTGATGATGATGATGTCAAAGCTACGAAAAAATCGAAGAAAGTGAAAGATGAAAACAAACCAAAACGTCCACAATCAGCCTACTTCTTATTTTTAGCAGATTTCAGAAAAAAGATGAAGGGAAAAGACATTGAAAATAGAGAACTTCTCAAACAAGGTGGGTTGTCTATATTGTCTACTTTTAACATGTTTAAATTGGCATTATCCCCCTTGTGTAACTGTTTTATCATTTCTGAAGGTTGTTGAGTTTGCATGGAAAAAACATCCAGTCTACTGCTTGCTGCATTGATCTCTCTGCAGTAAGAATAAAAGGAATGACTAACCTTAGATGCTGGTAAATTCCCCCTCATTGCACACTGCTTGGCAACAATGGATTTCTTGGGTTAACAAGAGAAAAAATAGATATTGATTCCTTTGACTTTGACTGTAAAGGCTAATATGTCTAGTATTGTTTATATTATTAATTATTTAATGTTACAACATAAATTGCTTTCAGCTGGTGTAGAGTGGGGTAAATTATCGAAAGACCAAAAAAAACCTTTTGAAAAATTAAGTGAGGTTGAAAAAGGCAAATACGATGCTGCAATGGCAATTTATAATAAGGTTGGTAGTTAAAATATGTTATTTAGTCTTTGTGCACCATAATTGGCCTTTGTATAATAACCACAGCTAGGCTATTTTTGTCATTGAACAGTGGGCCAGCTTTCCAATACCTGTAGCATCAGAATTCAAGGGGTTGAAATGAGGTTATTGTGGTGTACCCAATCATAAACTTGTAAGAGTACCTACATCCCATAATGGTTTGCCCAGCTGGCAATTGGAAGAGTGCACATGGAAGCACACACATACAAAGACTAGAATCAGATGTCTGTGATTCTTGAAAGTTTTTGTAGTTTCACAATCCCTTTAATTTCACCTTATTCATATTTCCAGGGAGGTAAACCAGCCACTGCCAAGAAATCAGCGCCAGCAGCTAACGGAACTGATGATGATGAAGATGATGATGAGGAAGAGGAGGATGAAGAAGATGATGTTGATGAGGAATCAGATGAATAAATCTGTATAGTGTTAAAAGTTTGTTGAACTAGACATAGTGTTAATTGTCCATGCTGCCATTGTTGCTCTGAACTAATGGAATTGATATCAAGACATGACCATCCAGAGTGTCATGTATATTTTTTGTGACCTTATCAGCCCTAATTATGCTCAGAAGTTAAATGATCTCTTTATTTTGAGCTGAAAATTCATTTGGTTTCAAATTGTCCAAGTATGATTCATAATTCTCCTACTTGTTCTTATTACCGTTAAAAAAATACTCACATGGTCTGATCTTTCAAAAGTATGTTATTTGTAATCTGTCACAAATTTGTCACACATCTATGTCATTGACATAGCAAACATTTGTGTAATCAGCTGATCTAGCTCAATTTCAGCTATCAGTATCTCCATTCAGAAGAAAATTTGATGTCAATGACATGAAAAATCTTCAGAAGTCACACAACATCTTTGTAAATTTCTACATATTAACTTAAAATTTTACCATGTTACACTCAGCAGACTGAGTCTCAACAACACTATGATACTGTCATGTTACTAACAAGTTTGTTGACAAGAGTTCTTGTTTTTTGTTGATGAGCCAAAGAATGTTTATGAAGAGAAATTCAGGGTTTTGAAATTTGGTTGGTATTTAGGGATTTTATGAGTTATAAATTACACTGATGTTCAAAGAAAAAAGAATTTCCAACCCAATTTCAAGCCCTGGCTTTTGATTATAGAAAATAGAAATGATCTGAATTTTATTTTGACATTTCACTGTTCAATATTACATCCATTTTAAAATAGTTTCATTTAATTGTATCATACAGTACCTTATTTCACATATTGTTAGCTTTTTAAAATACAGGGTTCATTTTCTCTTATACACTACCGTATTATAATCACTTTGGAAATATATAAAATAAATAAATTGATGCAGTCTTTACCTAGTGACGTTGGGTAATGTTTAACAAAATATTTGCTTCATCTTTTCAATGTTGAAGATCATGTAAAAAGCATTAACATATTATGACACTTAGTGCTGGAAGGAATGTAATAAAAGATATCTTATCAACCTTTCAATGATTTACTTTTGAAATCTGTGTTAAACATCAGAGGTTTCAGTCCAGCCTTTTCTTCATGAAAGGTGCAGAAAAGTAGGACGTAGAACTCCATTTCATTTTCATTTTTAGTTTATGAACCCTGTATTTTGGAATAGGACAATCTTTTATAAAAGTTCACTTCACTTGTTTGAATTTAAGTCAGATAAACTTCTATTTACATCAAAAAGAGAATTAAAAATAAAATCAACATTCCAAAAGAAAAATTTGAAAAGCAGATGAATAAAATCGTAGCCATTTCTCAGGGAAAAATCATGCTCTGGAACAAATTCTGAGAAATATTATGAACGTCTTATTGTATGATTGTGGTCAAAAAGTGCTGAAATCAGTGTTGTAAAAATGAAGATATTTTTGTTTTGATCAGTTGAAATTTGGTAAATTAAATAGTAATGTGTTGATTAAATCAAAAAAGTACTGACGATCCGAACTGCAAATTGAAAGTTTAAAACAACAGTTTGGCAATGGATTAGTAGCAAATGAATTATTCATATGTTTGATGTTACTCATTATTACTGCTAAACAAATATTTACAAAATGTAAATCATGAATAACATCATTGAAAAATGCCTACTAATTAGCTCAGTTTCATTAGAGACCAAACATTTCTACCATTTTCAACTGATCAGAACAAAAACAACATTTTATGTCATCCATCACCCCGCATATTCTGTCGAGATATTTTTGATGTTTCATCCTTTCCATATCATTTTATATATTGTTCATTTTAAAAACACAAAATGAATAAAACACGTTTCCAATGTTATGTTCTCCGTGTCTTTCTGTAGGTGTCGCTTCGGTTTGACTGCTGAGTTCTGCATGTTCGGAAATCAGTTCAGAACGTGTTCCATGTGTGCTGAAATTATGTTGGAGAAGGCTGTGACATATTTCGCCTCAGTACCGTTTAGTTGATGGAAGAATTGGAATTGACAGAATTCAAAATGATGGATAAGGAAATAGAATTGATTTTGACATTTTGCTTCCAGAATTGGATCTGACTGAACCTGTTTGAGATCTCTCCAATCGAGGGCCATCTTTGCGTCTGATCAAATGAAAATCTGGATGATTTGTGTGAGTGATTGCACTTGCTATTCATGACCTAGCAAGATTGTTATAAATCTACTGATTATTTACTATTCAACCAAATGGATTTTAATCTGCAGAAAAAAAAACGCCAAATGAACATCCAGATTTTTGCCAGATCGTCTTTCTGTGACCTGAAAGGAACTAGAGTGCATCAGTCAAAGAAGTGTATACTGAGTTAAGGTCCTTAAGAGATAAGGCTATTTTGATCCATGACAAGGTTTTCACTTGTTAGTTAAGCTGAAACTTACTAATTTACTATAGACATCATAGTTATTAGGTTTCTCTTACTAAATAATTTACTATAGACATCATATTTATTAGGTTTCTCCTACTAAATAATTTACTATAGACATCATATTTATTAGGTTTCTCTTACTAAATAATTTACTATAGACATCATATTTATTAGGATTCTCCTACTAAATAATTTACTATAGACATCATATTTATTAGGTTTCTCTTATTAAATAATTTACTATAGACATCATATTTATTAGGATTCTCTTACTAAATAATTTACTATAGACATCATATTTATTAGGATTCTCTTGCTAAATAATTTACTATAGACATCATGTTTATATGGTTTCTCTAACTCAATAATTTACCATAGACATCATGTTTATAAGGTTTCTCTCACTGAATAATTTACTATAGACATCATATTTATATGGTTTCTCTTACTAAATAATTTACTATAGACATCATATTTATTAGGATTCTCTTACTAAATAATTTACTATAGACATCATGTTTATGTGGTTTCTCTAACTAAATAATTTACTATAGACATCATATTTATAAGGTTTCTCTTACTAAATAATTTACTATAGACATCATATTTATTAGGTTTCTCTTACTGAATAATTTACCATAGACATCATGTTTATTAGGTTTCTCTTACTAAATAATTTACTATAGACATCATATTTATAAGGTTTCTCTTACTAAATAATTTACTATAGACATCATATTTATTAGGTTTCTCTTACTGAATAATTTACTATAGACATCATGTTTATTAGGTTTCTCTTACTAAATAATTTACTATAGACATCATATTTATAAGGTTTCTCTTACTAAATAATTTACTATAGACATCATAGTTATTAGGATTCTCTTACTAAATAATTTACTATAGACATCATATTTATTAGGATTCTCTTACTAAATAATTTACTATAGACATCATATTTATTAGGATTCTCTTACTAAATAATTTACTATAGACATCATATTTATTAGGATTCTCTTACTAAATAATTTACTATAGACATCATATTTATTAGGTTTCTCTTACTAAATAATTTACTATAGACATCATATTTATTAGGTTTCTCTAACTAAATAATTTACTATAGACATCATAGTTATTAGGTTTCTCTTACTGAATAATTTACTATAGACATCATATTTATTAGGTTTCTCTAACTAAATAATTTACTATAGACATCATATTTATGTGGTTTCTCTAACTAAATAATTTACTATAGACATCATATTTATGTGGTTTCTCTAACTAAATAATTTACTATAGACATCATATTTATTAGGTTTCTCTCACTAAATAATTTACTATAGACATCATATTTATTAGGTTTCTCTTATTAAATAATTTACTATAGACATCATATTTATGTGGTTTCTCTAACTAAATAATTTACTATAGACATCATATTTATTAGGTTTCTCTTACTGAATAATTTACTATAGACATCATGTTTATTAGGTTTCTCTCAATGAATAATTTACTATAGACATCATATTTATTAGGTTTCTCTTATTAAATAATTTACTATAGACATCATGTTTATATGGTTTCACTTACTGAATAATTTACTATAGACATCATATTTATTAGGTTTCTCTTACTGAATAATTTACTACAGACATCATATTTATTAGGTTTCTCTCACTAAATAATTTACCATAGACATCATATTTATTAGGTTTCTCTAACTAAATAATTTACTACTAACATCATATCTATAAGGTTTCTCTCACTGAATAATTTACTACAGACATCATATTTATTAGGTTTCTCTCACTAAATAATTTACTATAGACATCATATTTATTAGGTTTCTCTAACTAAATAATTTACTACTAACATCATATTTATAAGGTTTCTCTCACTAAATAATTTACTATAAACATCATATTTATTAGGTTTCTCTTACTGAATAATTTACTACTAACATCATATTTATAAGGTTTCTCTTACTGAATAATTTACTATAGACATCATGTTTATTATGGTTTCTCTTACTGAATAATTTACTATAGACATCATGTTTATATGGTTTCTCTAACTAAATAATTTACTATAAACATCATATTTATAAGGTTTCTCTTACTAAATAATTTACTATAGACATCATATTTATTAGGTTTCTCTTACTATCAGCATATTGTGTTTCTTTTACTTAATGATTTACTGCATACATTATATATATTAGGTTTCTTTTACTAAATAATTTACTATAGACATCATAGTTATTAGGTTTCTCTAAATAAATAATTTACTATAGACATCATATTTATTAGGTTTCTCACTAAATAATTTACTATAGACATCATGTTTATATGGTTTCTCTTACTGAATAATTTACTATAGACATCATATTTATTAGGTTTCTCTCACTAAATAATTTACTATAGACATCATATTTATCAGGTTTCTCTTACTAAATAATTTACTATAGACATCATATTTATTGGGTTTCTCACTAAATAATTTACTATAGACATCATATTTATTAGGTTTCTCTTACTAAATAATTTACTATAGACATCATAGTTATTAGGTTTCTCTTA